AACGGAATTTGGACGTCATAAGCAACACGATATTACCCAAAATTGTTTTTGACCAAGAAGTTAAGTAACGTTGGATTCTTCTCCTTCAGCGTCTCCACACCAACGTTATAAACTTCACTTAACTTCTTCCCAGGTTTTAGTGCTTCAATAATTGTAGTCTCGACCACCAGAAGTGTTTCATAGTTCTCTTCAATGCTAGGTGACGGGTCAACAAGCATCGTTCGACTCACATTTGAACAGTAAGACTAAAAAATTCTACATTCCATCGGCATCAGTTTTATCAAAGAGCTCTCGTAAAAATTCACTAGTCGCTAACTGAGAAGAGAGGCTCGTGACAAAAAATATCCAGGAAAAAAGTAAACCTGATAGCGAGCGCCCAAAGAATAAATAATCGTTCCATAGTGCATCAGTTTGTCACTGCTAAAAACGAAAACTCATAGAATGTCAGAGAAAAAATGACTATACAAATGTTTGTTATTCATGGAATCGAATAAAAAGTTAATAAAAAAGTACAGACCTCTCCGCACTCAGTTTGAGAACAAAGTTCCCACCAGACTGAATTATAGGTGTGTAACATGATTCTACATTACCATTGTCTGCAAGCCTGCCTTGAACTTGCACTGTAATCATTGCCCTTTCAACATCTTCAGCTAGACGACTGTGCTTTACTTTCTAAAACGATTGTTATATATGACCAAACACTTCCACACATTCACCCATTCTACAAAGTCGATTAACAAGAGTAGACAATGATATAAGAATGCAATTTTTGCTCAAAAACTAGTCATTTGAGAACAATACAGAGACAGTATAGCTGTTAACAACCTTAGATTGGTCGATAATATCAACAATCTTCTTTCTCAAAAATGACCATGTATTAACGGTTGCCAGTGCAGCTTTCTTACACAAATCCAACTCCCTTTCGTCTTTCTGAGAAAACAAATGCGCAAACGCTTGAGAGATGTCAACTGTCTGAAAATGTCCTTAACATCTCAGAAAAAAAAAAAAATAATAATAATCAGAGAAAGAGAAGTAGGTTTCACCCAAACAAAAAAAAACTATCCTATTCTATGTGTATACGCCAAAAGATGACTACCAAAGTTATACTGTTATCCTGCAACGTCTTCTCCCAAGCTTTGGCGAAGGGTGACCCAAAGACATCTTTTTTAAAATATCCAAGGTGATCCTTGACAGGTTCTAGCAAAGAAGCCAGTTTATTAAAATTTGCTTGGTCCTTATCGGCCTAAATAGTGAAGATTGTTAACCTCTGAATAAATGTAATATTCATTAAAACAGCACCATAATTATTAAAAACCAAGAAACACGTTACAAGTAACTTTTTATCCTATTAATTCAAAGAAGGCATTTAAACACGACTCTGCTCATCTTACCTTCTCTCTCAATAAAATATTAATTGGAGGTAATAAACCATTCGCATCCTTGCTCTCCAGCGGGCTCAAAAACTGAGCTTTGCGAGAACTGGCCAGAAAGTATATCCCGGATTTCGTGTAAATGGAGAGAGTGTCGTTCAGTTCATAATTAAACAGCCAGTACTAAAAAAACTTGGTCAGCTCTAGTGCAAAAGGCAGTGGATAATATGAATACTGAGCAGCCGCAAAAAGGAAGTTTCCACTTACTAAACAAAGAGTTACCTGTAAAGCATTAGACTTTGAGTACGGTGGAGAATCATCATCAACTCCAACCATAAAAACTAATGCTTCAGCACTGGATAATGTAGAATCCTGCCCGCTGTTCTGAAAAAATTTCAGAATTGAAAAATCAAACCAGTTTTTTGGAATTTCCCAAAATATCAAATCACAGGCAGGCGAAAACAAACACACCTACCCAGAAATCATAGAGTTTTGATGCTCGTAAGTGAAACAAATCTTTATCTACTGTCAAACTTTTCTTCTCCGTCATTCCAAAAAAACACACGATCTGTAAAATGTTATTGTGAATGATGAAGCAAGATCTGGAGCATTTCACTAAGTCGACAGTAAGGAAAAAGCGTGAGCAGAGAGGCATAAGTGGGCCAAAACCTGCGACTTAGTCATTAAAATAATCTATCTACAAGATGCGCCCAGATCAAACAAAACAAGCCGCAGCATAACAGAAGCCCCTTTCGGAAACAAACGCGGGTGAAATACAGATCGTTACAGCAAACATTCATTTTGCATATCGAAAAATGGAACTTGAAAGAAACGAAATCTATATAATATGTTCCCAAATCCACACAAAACATTTTCCCAAAATCAGTCACTTATCTGCTCAAATTCAGAAAAAAAAAGAACTTCATCACTAACGACCAAGCTATCCATCAAGAAAATATAACTAAAAAAGACTTCGAAATAGCTCTCTTCACCTTGGAGTTGGAAAATGACTTAATCCGGCCTCTGTAACGAAAATAACATGAAACTTAAAAGACCAATCAAAAAATGTTTAAAAGAAGAAATTAGAAACAACTACAAACGCTTAAAACTATAAAAATACCTAATTCTAAGAATACACTCGTTTCAACAGAGCCCAATTTTCGAAAAATATTTAACACAGAACTCGATAAACATTGTAGTTGAGAAAGTTGGAAATATATGAACAAGTAAGTGAACACGAAGAGATCAATAAGCATATATATATATATATA